TTTTTTTCTCCTACTTTCAACAACTACATTAATATGGACGGTACGACATCCGCTGTAAATTATCTTCTCCCACCAACGACTAACGATTATTACGATCATCATTCGCTTCAAACTATACAACCGTTAGGTAGCATACCTTACTATCAATCAGATGCCGTCGATTGCTTTTATGATCATCACAAATCTGACTTTCAGTCGCCATCTTCTTATATTTATCATCCTACACAACAACAATCTTTTGGATATGGTCCATCTATTTATGATATTCAATCATCTCAGCCATTTATTCAAGAATCTAATATTCTTCTTTTACAAAATCAGCCTCGATTACCACCTGTTTATGAATTGTCTCCTCCTTGTCAGACAGTACAACCTTCATCACTACAAAATACTGCACAATTACCACCAAAAGCTTTAAAAAGAGAAGTACATGATACAACATCAACATCTGAGAAAAATCACGTATATGAATGGATGAAAGGTGTATATGAGAAAAAAAGAACCAATTATTATAAAATGAATAGTTTTCGAAAAGTAAATAGTTTTTTTTTTTGTTTTTTTTTAGGAGATCAAATTCGACGAAAACATCGACAAGTTTATACACGTACACAGACATTCGAATTAGAGAAAGAATATCGTTTCAGTCAATATTTAACACGTAAACGTCGATCAGAAATAGCTGCTGGAATTCAGTTAAGTGATCGACAAGTTAAAATTTGGTATGACAATCATTTATAAATACCAAAAACAAAAAGAATTTCTTATTCTATTGGTTCTTTTTATCTTTCATTAGGTTTCAAAATAGAAGAATGAAAGAGAAACGAGAAAATCTTAAATTTAATAATGGAGCATCATCAACATCGAAACAACGTCATGAATATTCTTCGTAACAATAATTATTGTGATATTTGTACGTTTTCTTTTTTATGTGAAATGATAATTTTTTTTTCGCTATATATAAATTAATGTTAACAATCAGAAACAATTTATAAAAAGATTTAAATACTCGAATAAAAGTTGATAGAAAAGTCAAAGAAAATAATTAAATCATGAGCAAAGTTTTGTAAGAACCAAATAAAAAAAAATTACCTTGAAGGGATATGATTATCATTAATTCTGACACGATCATCGGAGGTCTGCACGGACTCGAACCAATTTCATTATACTATTATAAGTATACAATATTGGATGAAACTCCTCATCCTCCAGATATATTCCACTGAAGACTAGTAGAGTATGGTGATAATATCTGTCAGTTATCCCTAACTATTGTTTATGTGAGTTGACCATCCAGAAGTACATGTGAATGCTTGTTGACTACTATCTGGGATTCATCCAGACTCCAGTGAGATTCATAACATTTAATCAAATCATGTTCTTTTAGGTATACGTTGAGAACATTTAGTACAGTAAATTGATAACATCAGTCAATCATATGCAATTGTTCTTCTTATGATAGAGCAGTGTCTGTATATGTGAATACTGAATGTTGATACATGATTTCAAACACCTCGAAAATAGAGAATGATAAAACCATGAAAAACTCCTAATATGAAGGATAGTCTTCGAACCTCAGTTATTAAAGTCTTTTAAACTTTTCTTTAGATTTGCAACACGAAAAATATAACTAACAAGTGCCAGTAAATGTTTGGAAAACACTCCTCTATATTCTGCTTATGCATTCTCTTGTACATCATTCTAGGAAGGAAAAAACTTGATTTTTAACATCAAAAATTATTTCCTAGTTGTTTTTGCAATAGATTTTCAAGCTTGTTTTCGTTAGTGTGTCGCAGATTTCTCAACTATTTTACATGGTATAACACTGAAGAGGATTTAGAGAAAATTTCGCTCTACAACTTAACAGAGTTCGAGTTTTCATTTTTGAATAACTTTTTGAAAACAATGAGTCTTTCTCCATAGGAGCATCTCGAATTTCCTAGAATTTTTGCAAAAAAAGCTAGCATCAAAAGCAAACAAAAGAGAATAATTTAACAATCGGGCACTGTTAAGCTGTAGCGGCGAGTATTGGTTACATTTTTACACCATCCCAACATCTGTATCATTAGATTTGAAGTAGAAATCTGGAACACGCGACGATCTATTCTTTGATTCTTAATATAAGGATAACTCTCGAGCAACTCAATATTTTAAATTGAAAATCAGGGTTGGTCTTAAAAGAAAATAACTGACCTTTGTTCGATCTGTGAATTCTATTTATGTTGAATAGAAAATGTATTTTCGTAACAAAATATTTCAAATTTATTCGATATTGCTAGAAAAAAAAACAGAAGTTTTATTAAAGTAACAGCTATGAAACCATTTGTCAAGCGTACCGTCATAAAATAAAGAGAAGATTCTAAACCTTGTATTTACTTTTATTAAAAAGTAAGTGTATACATTATTAAGTTAATTAGGTTCATTTTAACTTTTCTATATTATTTACAACAGTAGATCAACTACTAGTTAATCCCTATTTCCTCTTAAGTAAAAAGATTGTAGTAAACATCGATTATCTTCACATTAAATCAAATCTTTCAATTACATTTCAAAACGATTAGAAATAATTAGGAAACTTTTACCCTACAGTTAACTATCTTGGAAGAGAGAAAATTCATTCGTGTAAATTTCTCATACATTAAAACCAAGTTATCTTTTGGTATCATTAAAAATTGGATTAAATGAAAGATTTTCATTTTACATCGAATCTATTTCGAACATTCTTCTTGATAAACACAAGTTGTTTCAAAGTATATATTACAGGCAAATACGTCAACTACACCTTTGTTTTTATATGTTACTAGATAATTATCATTCATTAATTTATTTGATAAAAAGGGATAATTGATGAACAGGCATTAAGTTAGTTTAGCTGCAACAAATATTCAATAATAGTTTATACATATATATTAAGCGTTGGAAGAATATGTCGAAAGTAAAACATCTGAGAAAGGAACTAAAAGATGTCACTGACAAAAAAAAACATTAGTTTTTCTTTCAATTGGATGTTGAATGATCCATACAATTCATGTGTCAGCCAACAGAGAAAAACCAAGAAAGAAATTTCTAGTATTTGCAATAGCAAGTGTATCAACTAGACGCAAGATATACTGAAGATCTGCTGCTTCTGATATACACACTGTTTTACACGTTGCTCAGAAATTGATTTGAGAATCTTAAACGCTGTATGTTGTATTAAGTCAGAGATTTTATTTATATGATAGTAGCACTATCATATCAGTTTAATCCTTAATTTATATTTTATTATATGCATTCATGTGTGGTTTCATCTCTTACGTTCTGGTCTACGTGTAAGCTGCTGAAACTGTACGTGTATTTACCGCTTAATCATTTTCTTAGTATAGATTTATATTTCTCATTAAAGAAAAAATACGAATATTATTTTAGGTTTTTTTTGGATTGTAAAAAAACTTAGATTTCTGTATACTGTAATGATGAAAAAGAAAGTGTAAAAAACAACTTCTTATAGATTTCCATTGCAGACATTCGAAGTATTCAAGAAAGATCTTATCTTCATTAGAAACATAACGTTGCATTAACTTTGAAATAAATCAGCATATGTCTTTATCTGCTATTTTAAAACCATCAATCAGAACTGAAAACTAGCCACTAAAAACTTTGACAATACATTATTCTAGCATATTTCATCAAACAAATTACCGCTAATATTTAGCTTCTATAATGCATAAATGAGTTTTGAAATTTATTCTCAAAGAATCGATTGTTTTGCTTATCTATTTCATCGAAGAATTTCTTAAAAAAAGTTATATTCTCGTCAATGCTATTTCTTAGTTTTTAGTTTATTGTAATTCATAGTTTATTACTTCAAACATATATTTTTATAAATGTTTATAATGTAACTTCATCAAGATACATTCATTATGTGAAATATTGGATCTTATTCTTTATTCGATTAATGCATTCAATTTAATTCGTTTGTCAAAAGTGAATGAAATCTAAATTATATTTTCAGTCAACTACATTTTCTTATACACTAGATAAATATATTTTATAGATGATTATAAATGAAGGTTTTGCAGATAATTGAAAAACACTTCAGAGTTCGGCATTGCATCTTTTGTCAGGTTTAAATCAATAATAAAAATGAACTTTATAGCAAGAATCAAGTTCTTTTTTAAATATCGATTAGTCATAGAGAATGTTTAGTCTTGGAATCGTATGCTTTGTTTAAAACATGTATTATTTTCTGAATTATATGTAATTCATATCGAACATATATCAGTGATTGGATTTCAACCTAATGGAACATTTTAATAAAATGTGCTGATTGATCACTTATCAATATCAACACTTCTTTTCAAATAATGTTACACAACTGAATTATAAGTAAACAATTTAAATATAATTCTTTATATCGATCATAATTAACTCATTATTGATATATTTTATTTGAAAAAGTATGATTAAAGTAAATTAGTGTTCATAATCAAATCGTATATAATAACGACATCGATAAAATATGAAGTTTCATACAATTGGATTCCAATGAACATGTTTGTTTTAAACATATGTGAATGTAAATATATACTAGAGAGTGTCTTACTCAAAGAAAAAAAAAATTCGAAAAGATAAAAAAGCTTTAAGTATGATGTATTATTGTGAATCATATATCACTTTAAGAAAGAAATTCATATAAACAACCTCTTACCGAGTCTTTTACTCTTCATTGAAAAGAATAAAAAACAAACTCGTTTTCTATATACTATCACGTTGTCTCATTCTTATGTCAATAAGAATGAATACAAGAGTTTCAATGTTTACTGTCTACTGGTAAAGTCAATTTTATACTGTCAATATTTGTGTTTTTTTCGATATATAAAACAAGATTATACTTTGTTATTCATTTTTCTTATTGAATAGATTCTGATTAACAGTAGTTTTTGAATAACAGGATGGTGTTACATTATGGTTCTTCTAATTTTTCATTGATGATTATTTTGTAACAGATGAATGTTACATTAATGACCGAGTTACTATTGACATTAATAAGAGATCCGAGTGTATTTTTTCATGCATAAAAGATTGTCTTTTTCGTAGTTAAATCATAGTTTAAAGACAGAACAAATGCTATAGAAATCAAAATAGATCCATAGCAATAAGAATACTTAATAGAACTATCGAAACGAAAAGCAGAAATTACGCAATTGTCAGTTTACACTTCTTCATACTTCACCATATTTTCCCATACTTCTTGATTCTATATGAATGTAAAAAACAAAGGCATCACATGAGAATGATTCTTTACGATGCAACAGTGACCACAATGTTCATTACAAATTGTTCTATTTGTTTTTCAAACAACACTTTTTTTTGTATTTATCGTTGAATAATATGTCTGATAATCTCTACTTTAACATCAAATGAAAAATAAGAAAGAAGAACGAATTATTTATTGAAAAAACATTCTAATAGCAATAGAATACGTTTTAGATAAAGAATATGACAGAATCTCTTTGCTCATATTGTCAGCTTCTTGGAAAACCTCCTAGTCGAATAAATTTTATCATCACTACAGGCGTACCGGACAGTTTGGTGTACCAACGAATCAAATTTTTACTTGTAAATTATTCAGAAAACTCTTCATGCACAAATAATATTCGTCTAAGAAATGATGAAACAATGATGGATATCAACAATCAACTCTTTAATCTTGGAAATCATTCATCATCAATCGATCAATCAATATCAACTTCAACACAATCATGTTGTAATGGGTTTACTACTATGTCAATTGATATTGATGATATATCGAATGCTTCGCAGCTAGACAAATTTCAGAAGACTATTCTTGAATTATTAGATTCAACAACTGAAGAAAAATATATAGAACGTAAATCAATAAGTTGGATTATGCTCAGTGGATCCATATGTTTAGAACCAGCATTACTTAACATATTTCTTGAACTCACTAATCAGAATTCATCATTTCTAAGTTTCACATTAACTGTACTTTGTTTTCTTGTCAACGAAAAACGACTTTTCGAAAATTGGCTGTTTCAAAATCTATCTATTCAAGACTATCAATCAAATACTTTTCCTAAATACCAGCGCCAGATTGACAATTTCTTCTCATTATTAAATTCTTCAAAATATCTTCAAGAAAATACATTACTTATTGAAGAACAAACCGTTTTAACTGATAATACACTTCAAACATTGATGGAAGGTCTTTTTCGTAATGAATCATCGAAATATCGAGCAAATAATGACAAACTTCGTTGTGATATGTCAAAATTACTCTCACCTAACCAACGAACAGTACGTAATGTACGTAATGTTCGAATTAAATTGCATAGCCGTTATCATCGAGTCATTGCGGATCGACTAAAGCCACTGCTCAACGATCTTCAACAATCATCTACAGCTGCTAATGCTGCTCGTCAAATTGTTCATATTGTTCTCGATGATTTTCAATGTATGAATGATGAAGAGTTGCGAGTCTATAAAAGACAATTAATCCTTGGCTTTGAAACTCATCATGCAGAACATGCAAATACAATTGCTGCTCAATTAGTTCATTATGCTCTTCAGTTACTTAGAAATAATCATGATGATATATCAACACCACTTATCTATGCAATAATTTCAGTAATATGTACGTTAGGTACCCATTTTTATTTTCGTCATGAATTATTTAATAACACGCCTGAAATATACACATTGAGTTTGTTGCTTGTCAGTCAACGACAGTATGCACTAACATTATCTGGCCTTCAACTTTGTAAAACTATTCTATATGGTGATCAAAACGAACATAAATATGCAATTGCTTATTTAACTCATGATCCATTAAGTGCACGCAAAATTTTAGATGCAATCAAATGGCTTCTATCGCCTTATCAAACACTGAAAAAGTTATGGGAAGAAAAAGAAGAGACAGAAGAGTGTGATAATTCTGAGTGAGTACAATCATCCATTGTAATATACCAGTATTTAACTGATTCTTACTCTGACTATCAGGTCAACCGAAGAAGAATCAAGAATGTATATTGTAGAACGTTGCTGCTTTCTTCATGCAGGCATTCTACTTAGACGATCCTATATACGCTCTCTTGCATCATTATTTTATGGTTCACCGGATCATTGCATGCAGGTGACAGAGGATGATGTGCATAGCTTCGCTGAAGTCATTGATGTTTTAGTAGATTCTCGAATGGTTGATTGGACTCGAAGCGAAAACAAATCTCGTCCGAGTTTAATGCTTACAAGTGAATTGTGTGCTGTTCTAATACCCATTCTTCTATACAGCATACCTCCGGTTAGCTTAGCATTACTAAATGAAAATCATCTATTAGTAGCCATTCCTAAAGCTATTCAAGGCTTGCTCAAAATGGATGATATCGATGAAGACATGATAAACATATCTATTCGTTTTTATACGCAATTTGCTCAGTCAAAATGCAAACAAGAGGTATTTGACGATGATACAGAAGATGAAGAAAAAATAGAATCATTCAATACGGAAACAACTGAACAGAGAATCAATACATTTGTTCCCTTGAATCTTTCTCAAGATTTAGTTTCATCATACTTTAATCTATATCAGCAAATTCAGAAAACATCTTTACTTGATCAGAAATCAGCACAGCAAGAACAAATTCAAGCATTATTCAATGAAGAATGGAAAAAATTCGATATTCTACAACTTCAAAATGATTATAAACAAGTTCAGCATGAAAACACGTTACTCAACGAAGAACTACTACAATTAAGAGATGAATTGCAACGTACTCAGTCAGAGAGAGATCAATTTAGAAAAGAAAATATAAGAATGTCTCAAGAAATAGATAAACTTAAACTGATGCCAATTACTAGAAAATCTGTAGAATCTCAACAGTTATCAATAGTTGTTTCTGCTGATAATAATAGTCAGAAGGATACAATTGATGAATTACAAAATCTTTCTCCAAATGAAATCACTCCAGAACAAGCAGAAAAATATATTCGAGAAATTTATCATCGTCGAACAACATTCAATGATAATGATATGCGAAAATCTATTTGTGGATCACTCAAACATCTTGGCTCTGATCTTTATAGTTCACCTGTACATTTTTTACATGAACTTATTCAGGTTTGTTTTTTTTTATTTTTCCTTGTTATTTTAATTCAATAGATTTCTTCATATTATAGAATGCTGAAGATAATTTTTATGATAATTCAATTAGACCATGTTTACGTATTGAAATTGATCATAATTATATATTTTTATCAAACAATGAACAAGGTCTTCGAGCAAAAGATGTATTAGCTATTTGTAGTTTAGCTGTTAGTACAAAAACAATTCAACAAGAATATATTGGTGAAAAAGGTGTTGGTTTTAAATCAGTTTTTGCTGCTTCAAATCAACCAATGCTTATTTCACATGCTTGGAAATTTCGTTTCCATGTACCAGGTGTTGATTCTATGTCATATATAACTCCATTATGGATAACAGATCAAGATATTCCTGATTGTATTTCTAATCAAATTTCAACAAATGCTCAACATACTCATCTTTATCTACCACTTAAATTACAAGTACATACACCCGAAGCCGATCTATTTCTTAATCAAGTTATCAAAACTGTAGATCCATGTATTTTACTTAATATGCGTCAATTGAAAAAACTTGAAATTATTGATCAAAGACAAAATAAAATAACAATCATTGAAAAAAAAATTATAGGTCCAACACAATTAGAAGAACAATCAAATATAACATTTGAAGATTTTACATTTCTTAACCTCACTGGATCTATCATTCAATTACATACTTCAATAGGATATAATACTTTTCGTGTATATACATGTTATATTAATGTACCAAGTACGATGGAAGAACGACGAACTTCAAAAACCCGACTTATTATAGGATTTCCTTGTGAAAATAATTATAATTTGACAAGTACAGTTTATGCAGGTTTACCTGTTTGTAATCTTGATTTTAATTTTTTATTTAATGCTGATTTTCAATTAGTCACTAATCGAGAAAATGTTCGAGAAAATGTTTTATTCAATACATTTATTCGTAATCATTTATCAGCACTTTTTGTTTATCTATTATTAAATGATATAGATTTAAGAAAAGATATCAATCGATATTGTCCATCATTAAGTATACATCAAGGAAAACATTCATCATGGTGGCTTGTTATGATTGATAATATCAATGAATTAATAACTAAATATCTTTCAGTATTATTTGATATTCGAACAGGTAAGTAAATAGTTTTTAAACGTAATTTAATTTAAAAACAAAAATTTAATAATCATATTTAGGTAAAACAATTCGTTACTTTAATAGAGATTTATCATTATTTGTATCAAATAAACAATTATACAATTGTGCTGATATTCATGTGATTGATACAGATAATACTTTCTTAACATTTGAACAATTAAAATCTTTTAAAATTCAATCAGTTTCAATCATAGATATTTTAAATTGTTTTCCACGTCGAGAAGAAACATCAATAAATGAATATCGTCAACAATTTCAACTATGGACACAAAAACAAGATGAACAATGGTGGTCTCTACTTTTTCATCATTTAACTGAAATGATGACATCAGAAATTTCTTCTAAAATTTTACAAATACCAATTTTTCTTCTTCAAAATAATCATCGAAGACAATATTTACCGATGAATAATAATAAAAATTTACTTCTCTTTATTAGTGATAATAATCCACAATTTCGAATGTGGAAAAAACAACTTACACTTTTACAATATTCTTCAAAATCAGAGAGAACTGCTCTTCTCAAATCAAATCATGTGCAACTTCTTACAGAAGAACGAATGATTGAAATTATTCGTCAAAATCATTTACAAGTAGCTGTTTCATCTCTTGTTACTATTCCAAATACTGAGTTAATCGAAGAAATATGGGAAGATTTGTTCTATTTAAAATCTCATTTAGATAAATTAGATAAATCTACTCCATTTCTTGTACCAGTTATTGGAACACCAAATCTTATTCCGATTCAAAATGCTATATTACCAACAATACTAGGAATAGATATTCAATCATTTATACATCCAATAAGTTCATCAATCATTGCTTTTCCTTATCATAATACGCATAATTGTCAATTGATCGATATTCTTCAATGGGAATATTTCCTACTTGAAATGAATTGTCAACGAGCATCGATTTATCTTCCAAGAAACTATTCTATCACAAAATTGCCACTTTTACCAATATTAACAATGTTTACAGATGAAAAATATGCTCGACTAGGAGAATTAATTCTTTCTTATCAAAGAGAAAATACAAAAGATTGTCTTCGACAGTTTCCAATTGTTGATGATTCAAAACTTGTACAACAAATAAGTCCAGTCTCAGCGACATTTGATAAAGTGATTGTTCATGATTTACCATCATTACCACGTATTACTATTCCATCTTATGGTCGTGTATTAGCAAAAAATCTTGGTATTTGTGTCGAATATGATCTTTGTACATGTGTTAATATTCTACAATTATTAAGTAATGAAAAAAATACAAATATTGATTTGTATATTAAATGGTTAAGTCATTTGCAATTGTATGTCTGTCAACAACATATTGAATGGGACACAAAATCTTCATTATTATCATGCCAATTGTATCTTCCTGATCAAAACGATTGTTATTCATTAAACGATCTTTTAATTATATCGAACAATGAAGAACATCATAATGGTATTTTACTCGTTTCTAAATATTTCAAATTACAATTAATTTCATCATCAATTAATCAAATTTATTGGCAATTCAAAGATCTCTTTCATCTTTTAGGTTGTATATCTACATCTACAATTACTATTGATCATATTTGTACTACAATCGATTTGGCAAGTCGTGACAAAAGTAACTTCTTTGCTTTAGGTGATTGTGCTACGACTCTAACAGAGAATGGTATGGAAAAAATGATTGTTCTATATCAATATCTTGAAGATTCAATATTGAAATATGTCAAAAAGAATATGTCAAATACTGAATTATATGATACAATTGTAACAAATAAACATCCAACAGCATCATATGGTAGTCGAGAAGATTTAGAATGGCGTTTTAGTTTTACTTGTAATTCTTTATCACAACAACTAAAAAAATTAACCGATATACAATCACAAGGAAAAAAAATTGGTCTTCTCACAATTAATCGACAAATTATTACAAAAAAATTACATAAGATTATTTATGCATGTCTAGAAACTAAAATTATTCAAAATTTATCAAAAAATATTGATCAACGTGATTTTATATTACCATTAATTGCTCGTACATGTCCATTAGTTTTAGCGACATTTGATATTGATTATATTGAACGACGATGTAAAGTTCAATGGATGCATAATAGTCATAATCTCGAATTTTCTCTGAAACAATTAACAAAAATCTTTCGTACAACTCTTAATGATTCAGAAATAGAAGTGACCACAGCAAAATATGCTAGTGTAACTCTTCTTCTCTCTGATTCTTTTGTAATTGATTCACTTAATGAACAAAACAATCAAGATGAAATCAATCGATATATGATAGATAGTGATTATCCTTTCTGGATATTTAAAAAAACAATTCTTCTTTGTACTGGTAATAAAAAAGACAATAATTCAAAAGCAATTATTGCAATATCTGCTTTAACAACTTTATTACATAAACGAAAACATCTACCATTCGAAGAAGCTAAATCAATAGCTCAACAAAAGATAAGTACATGTATAGCATTTCGTTCCGAACATCCTTCATGTTTTGCTAGTACAGAATCCACTATTTATTCATATAGTGATCTACTATTTCCTACTGATCATCATTCTTTTGAATCAATGATTATATCAATAGGAAAAAATTGTACTTTGAAACAAGATCTCGAAAAAACTACAATAACTACAGTTGCTGTTGATCGAATTGTTGAAGATAAAATTTATCGAAATCGAGTAAAAACACAAAATGATATTCAACGAAATATGAATATGACAAACAATTGGAAAGATTCATTAATTGTAGATGGTATCGAACAACTTCGTATTGGTCAAAATGCAGAACATTTCTTTTTTGCCTATCTACAAAATCATTATGGTTCAATAGATGTAACACCAACAAAAAATTGGCGTTCGTCATCGCGTCTTATTATTTATCCACAATGTCAACGTAATATAGATGATTCCGTTGGTTTTGATTTTGAATTACATGATACACGAGAAGTATTTGTTCGTGAATCAAGATCAACAACAAAATATTGTTATTTTGAAGTTAAAGGCACTAGTGGATTATTCAATGAAGAATATACTCGTTTTTGTATTTCTCAAAATGAATTAGACACGTGTCAATCGATTGTAAATGATAGGAAAAGACAAGAACGTGAAGCATATTTTATTGTTATTATAGAAAATTGTCTTGATCTCGAAAAGATCTCTTTCGGTACTATAATTAATTGGTAGGATATATTGCATTCATATATAATATGTTGTATGTTTATCTTAACTTAATTTTGTTTTTTCTCTTTTGATAGGAGTCGAAATTTCGATAAAGTGGAGACTATTGCCAGCAGCTATAAGTGCAGAATTGTTTCGTCATCGTTTACAAACTTCAGGACAGCTAGAAGGGAAGAAGCTAGAGATTGTAATAATTGTCAGCAACAACAATCAATAAGACGACATGATAGAAACAATAATTCCATGACTCAGCCTGTATCCATAAACAGGAATGATTCGATGTCTAGTTTTTATCCCTCATCTCTTCATCAGAATCAACAGCAACAAAGAAGAATATTTCATGGAAGAGATAGTGATAACTACACATATAATCGTCAGAATTATAAAAAGAAATCATAATATAGTTCCATATTTTGTTTTGATTGCATTTATTTTTATAATATTATATAAGTACAAAAAGAAAATATATTATTTTTTCAACATAGATCATACATTCATGAATAGATGAATATAATTTACATAATCTAAAACGTTTGTAATGGTTGAAATCATATTGTCAATGGAAAAATGAAATAACTGATCACATCGAAACAAATCTTTTATTATTATATTATCGAAAGCATTGAAATAGAATTTATTATAAAAAGAAAAGCTACAGATGATGATGATGGTACAGATTGATCGTTGTCTTTTATCTGAAATAATCAGTGTCCATTCATTTAAAATTATATATTAATTTAAGACATCGAAGATTATAAAACATATATATATATATTCTTTGTTAACTAGAATAGATCATATTTCTACGGTTCACTCATTATTACATTATCGAAAGCAAAACATACTTACATAAGAAAAACATTTCAATTGTATCAACAATTATTTTTCATTTAGAAAAATCAAAACTACATCAAATTGTTGAATTAAGAGTGATATTTATGGTTTATGCAACCGTATTCGAACAGTTTTTCTACAATGTATATGACGTTCGCAACGTTACAACAGACGCTACTAGCATTGATTGAACTAATATCGTTAGATACAAACGTACGATATGTTCTCTATGGATTTAACAATTGTAAAAAAAATTCTTCTTTTGAAAAATTATACAGTTATCTTCGGTTACTATGTATTTTCATATTTGGCTTTGTCAATAATACGTCATAAACAATAATAATAAGCGTTAAGACCAAAGTAATTACACGAACTATAAGAAATAATGCCAAAGCTAAATGTTTGAAAAGAATTCTAAAAAACATGGATGCTATTTGTAGAACAAAATATGAACTGTGCCTTATATTAGATAAATAATCGATGCAGTGCGAAACAAAGCATTCATGTAGTCCTTCATGAGTTTTCTTTATTTTACTTTCTCAAATAAACATTTCCACTCATTTCGTTATCTTATATTACATCCCAATTATTCGATTCACTTTGATTCTCTATTTGATAGTTGAAATTTTGAGGTTTTTGTTTTCATTATTGATATATCTATATACTAACAATTTAAAATTTATTTTCTCTTGACTACAATGAATTGTGGTACAATAATGTACCCATTCTTCTTTCTATCGGTAAAGTTCCATAGCCGATGTACTGTTATTTTTCAATAAATATAATTTATATTAAAAGAAAACGACCAATGAAACCAAAACTTATTAACATATAATACAATTTTATTATTTTATTGTTGGTTTCGAATAATGCAGTCATCATACTTATCCAGTCTAAAAGATATTTTTATATTAAATATAAATATTTTCGTATATTAATGTTCAATCTCATGAGTACCATTTATATTAAAAGTTCGTCTTTGTTTATTGTAGTAATTGATTCATGGAAGTAGATATTCTGTATGATTTAATGTAAATTATAGGGAAACTGATTATTATCGTGTAAAGATCGTAGGAAATCAACTAAAAAAGGAAATGAACAGGAGAAGATTTCTCAACTGTTTTTCAGTGATAATAATGTTTCAAAATTAGATCATAATTGTCAATAAATACTTGATGAACTGAAATATATATTCTTTTATGTGAGATCAGTGTTACTAGATCAAAAAGTTACAAATCAAAATTTTAATAATAAAAATGCGGAATTTTTTTTTATACCATCTTTCAAAACAATTTGGAAAGTAGTTATTTGACGTTTAAATACGTATATAGTAGTCGCAAATAGTTTCACTACCAGATAAAGTGTGCCTAAACTTTGATCCTTTAGTTTCATAATTTGACCATAAATAAAGCATGTAGAACTTTGATTGATCTTCATGTGGAGAAGCTAGAAGTTCAACATAGATTTTTTTTCTTTAGACAAGGATATCTTAACATAGAAAAACAAGTCTCATGACGTCAGGCCCCTAATTCGACAGCTCTATGTTCTTCCTACCACCAATAAAAATTTCATATCAAATGGTTTTAGTTTGCCTGATTTATAAAGTATTCTTTGGTTAATTGTCACATAAGAGTTGATGGAAACCATTGAAAAGTGACTGATGTCTCCGACTGATTTCAACCATTAGTCTTGAAATTTTCTTCCGTGAATGCCTGCTCTAATCAAGTTTTCCCTCAAAATTTCATGATCACACCCATCGATGAAGAAGAGATCCATGCTGAGATCATCCTAGACAATGGAGGTTCTCCTGTGGCTTAAGATTACAGCGGATCGAAGTACTCTATCTGTGACACAATATAGACATACGAATATTTATTTATTAGTAAGAAAATGGAGATTAACGCATTTAGATAATGGAAAATCAGCCAAGTCTTTTTTTGGACCTTAGACAAAAAAAAACTAGTATTCCTATCGTGAATCCTTGGCGTTAAGACGTATCAAATCGGGTTGCTGCCTGAGATTAGAGCTTACTGAGCTCTATTTGTAGTCAAAATATCAGACAAAAGGACTTTTTACTGTGTAGCAGAACTTCTTGCGGCTACTGTATTACCTATTTTTTTTATTGAAATATGTTTTGTTCTCTGAGCAGTTCATGTGAAAATTATCAGTGGCATAATTCTTTTTTTCTCCTTTAATCGTACTTATACTTTTGTTCGAATCCTCGAATTTATCATTCATGACTGAATCTAATTCAGTTTTAACAAGTTAGAATTATCATGTGAATAACTTTCTTTTTAAAACTTAAAATTCAGGTTATATTAGCGAAATTGTTTATTCAAATGGTTTCTTTTAATAATACAATCTATTCAGTTTAATTCGGAACAGCTTTATTTTCCAGAGAACATGTGCTGTTAGTAGTGTCAAATCTCGGTACTATATAATGATTACAATAGCATAACGAATATGCATCAATGGCTGAAAAGAGTTTATTTCAAAGTTGTAATCAAACTCATAAGAGCTCAAATTTAGCAACATAAAACAATTCGGAATTTTTCTTGGCATTTCAAAAGACCTGGCAACACAGTATGAGATTCAACCTTCTTGTTTCATCTTCATCAACATTAACATCAATTATATATCCAAACTATTTGCTTAAGAAATATATTTATTCTTTTCTATTTGTTCTTTAAAATTAAATAAACTTTATACAGCAAGTATCTATTCCAAAATGATAAGCATCTTTTTTTTTCAATCATACAACAAATACTGAAATATTTTAATAAACTATAGAATTACTGTAAATTATTCTTAGTGTCAGAATTATTATGAATAACATATAATACAATAAAAAAAAAATAATAATAATATAATCATTGATTTTTGATGACTTGACTTTTTCCTGTCTTCTAGAACATATGTGCTATTAAATAATGATAATCGGGCGTCATGTCGTTGCTTGCACCGGTCGCTATTTTGCTTAATTCTTCCGTATTATTTGTTTACAAAATTCTTCATGATATCATCCATTCATCTTGCTAATCGAGTTACATATATATTTATATATAGGATGAGAGATTGCTTGCATACATACAGACACATCCTCACAATCATATATAACAATGCCACAATCCGTATGATCCATTGATCATTCCAAATAAAGATTCGAACATATTTATCATCATTTTTACGGATGTTTATTGTCAAATGGCTCATTTACAACATAGTGTCGTTTTCTTCTTTCTCATTTTACATATAGAAAAAAAAACCAATCAAAGTTTATATTCAAGATGACTAGACAACAAACACAGTCGTGTCTTTCTTTCATCATCTTCTTACAGATAATCTTATTTTTTTCAGAAACTATCAGCCTAAGGGCTGCTGATTGTGTTTGACCCGTAACAAGAATACTTGGTTGCTTACTTTCTCTCGTAATTGGATACAGAGAAGAACACAAATTACTAGATCGTTATATGTCCATATCAATAATATTGAATCAAAAAAAAAAAAGTAAAGAGAGAAAGGTGCCGACTGTATCCTAATTCGACATGCCGACAAATGTGTATGTTTTGTCGGGACGAACAAATCATTAGTGTTGTTCACGATTGATAGAAGCCATGAGTCAGTTGCAAAGTGACGATGAGAAATGTATCTATCTATTTCACACTATCACTTCATAGTTTATACGCCGCGCTTTATTATTTATTGTTCCATTAGAGAGACAGTGTGAAAACAATGAACTACATATCAATATACATATCCTAATTTGTTTCACAAAAAAAGATGGAACTTTTTCTATTTTGATGATTTAAACATCATTGATTTGTTTGCGTCAAATATTTCAAAAAATAAAAGAAAAAGAAAAATTATATACACATCTGATATCATTCACATTCATTGATGATTTCTTTTCATATAAATCCCTTGTCGATCAAAATGATCATCATTTGAATAAATTTTTTTTTCTAAATATTTAGCCGTTTGTCGACTTAAATTTCGTAACGGTGTCGGCATTAACAAAAAAAAAAAAGAGTCGAAAGAAACAGCTCATCTTTCCCTTATTAATCAATAACGATCGATACACATTGATGTTTTCAACACGTGTCTTCTTCACAACACATTTATCTTGAGAAGAAGTGAGAACAAGTGTTATTTTGACATTCTATCAAGAAAGAAAGCCTACACATACATATATATATATATATATATATAAATACCTACTCAATTGTTGAGATCAAAAGCTTAAATAAAATGGTTTTCGAAGAGAATACAAAAAAAGAAACAAAAGTAAATGTACCACATGTATCCAGCTGGCTTTTTATAAAATTCTCTAATGAAGTTATATATGCGTGGTTGGCAAGCAAAAATAATGACGTTTCGCTTGTCTGCCACTATATCTAAATATCAACAATGAATATAGGAAAAAAACATTGAGAAAGAGAATATAATGATACTGTAAAAGCGGTGTGTCTCTTCAAATGTCATCGAGTCAATTTGCTCTCTTATTTTCTGTATTGCAAAATACCGTATGGTTGTTAGTAAATGATATTTGATCGTCTTCATCGCATTATATACTCTCTCGATTATATATACATGTATACAAAGTTTACAATAGACAATATCGATATATATTTTTTTAGTGAAATACTAAGAGAAATTTATTAGATTTTCAAATATTTGTGATTAGTTAAAATAGAATCTTCAGTAATTAATGATAGAAACATTGATATAATCTTTTTATCTGAACTCTTTTTTCTTTGTACAAGATTAGATAACGTTTATTATGTGAAAAGCATTTGTTCATTTAAGAGTTTCTATTGTCAATCATGAATCTAGTTGGAATAGTTTCCTTTCTATTCTTATGTATAAGCACATCAACAATTTTGAAAATTATTCAATGTACAATAAAACCATGAAATGATTTTGTTTTGCACTTAAAGAATTTTCAATTAGTGCCAGACTCAACTATCAATGGCGAAGACATTGAGGACGATCATCCCTTCCTTTCCAACTGATTTTTTGACTTTTCTTAACAGAAAACGCCTATAAATGACCCGATACGACTTCTAATCTGACTTGAAAACATGTTTTGTGATTATGGTCGTCTCAATTTACCGAAATCTTAGATCCGTCATTGTCGACTGCAATTCACTCTCATATGTATTTATTCAAAATAACATCATAGGCAGAGCTTTTATAGCTTAGACTTTGCTACTATCGATAAAACTATATTTTTCTAATTGATTTTCGTTATTTCATCGATGCATTTTTAATGACGCTATCTAGCAAATGGAAAGATCAGAGTATCAATAAATAAATTTATTAT